ACTGTAAGATATTGTATTATACTATTATTATTATTTCCTTTAATTCTTAGAGGAACATGGGGCTTCAGCTGCACGTCTCCAGGTCTGCCCACATGCTTTCAGCTCCTCACATGACCTCCTTCAAGTCACCCTTGGATGACCAACTCGCCGCTTCCCATTCACCTTCCACTCGAGCAATGGTATGTCGTGTGATGTCACTTGATGGTTATCTCAGAGTATGGCCAGTCCACCTTCATTTCTTCCTGCATATTTGTTGCAAAATTCATTCTTCGTTGGTTCGTTCATAGCCAGCGATCCCTGTTGCTGATCTTTTCTGGCCAGCCATCTGATCTTGAGTCTTGAGCGAAGACGGCTATTGATGAAGGTCTGTAGTTTGTTCGAGATGCCCTTTATGACGCGCCAAGTCTCTGATCCGTACAGTAAGTAGCACTGACTTCACATTGGAGTTGAAAATCCGGATGTTATTTTTGATGCTGAGTGATGTTGACCTCCACACAGACTTAAGAGTACTGAAAGCTTGTCTTGCTTTTCCGATTCTGGCTTTGATATCCTCGTCAGTTCCGTCTGCCTGTAGTTGAAATGATGCTTCCCAGGTCGGTAGGTGAAGGAGGTTGTTTCTTTCAGGTTCCTCCTATTTATGCCGATTGCTATCTGTTGTTGTCGCTGTTGGTGTTGGCCAGGAATCTTCATCACCTCTGTATTGATCTTATAGGTTGGAAATACCTATCTGTCTGTCTGTTTTCGACATAGAACTTTGCACAAATGTGCGGAAGTTCAAGTCGCCACATTCCGTGTAGCACGCGAAGCAAGAGAAGAAAGTACAAGAAAAGCATAATAGAAACAGTGAGCAGAGGTGTGAGACAAAGGAGTAATAAAGAAATACAAAACAGTTTCATTGAAGATCATAAGTCACAGGGAGTGGATGCATCTGCGCCACTGAGAACGATTTTGAGCCATGTCACCAATTGTTTCCAACCATAGATTTTTACCGTCCCGAGGACCCCAGCCTGGAAGTCTACACCTTCCTACGTGGCTTAGACCAACTGTTGTGGATTTCATTGACTGATGCCAAGTTTTTGTTTGACCGCCGCTAGCTTTTTTCCAGCCTGACCCTATATCCGCTAACATTGCTCGTCGAGGGAGGCGATGGCTTGGCATACGTAACACATGTCCTAACCATCTCAGTCTTTGTAGCTTCACGACTTCGTCGATTGATTTCCCCTGTTTACCTAGAACTCTACGCCTAACCTCCATGTTGCTCACCTTATTATGCCACTTTACACGGGAAATAGAACGCAGGCACCTATGATCAAAGACAGCTAGTCTTTTCATGTCTTCCACTCTCAGTGGCCAGGTCTCACAACCATAAAGGAGGACGGAGCGGACTGATGAGCAGTACACCCGCCCTTTGGTCGATAGTCGAACATCTCGTCTACGCCAGAGTCGGCGTAAACTAACAAATGCGAAACGAGCCCCTTGTATTCGTGCTGAGATTTCGTCAGAGATCAGCCCGTTGGGGCTGATGGTACTTCCCAAATAAGTGAAGCGGTCAACGTGCTCTACCACTTCACTTCCTATTTTTAAACTAGGCGTCGATGTAGTCCAGTCCTGTAACATCATCTTGCATTTGGCGGGAGCGAATCGCATGCCAAACATTCGTAGATTGCGGCTCAAGGTGTTTAGAAGACTCTGCATTTCGTCAGCGTCTTCGCCTAGAAGGACTATATCGTCTGCATATTCCAAGTCAACGAGATTATTCCCGGTAGCAAGTCAATCCCTGAGTCGCTGAAGTCACCTAGGGTTAAGTCCATTAACACATCTATGATGAAGTTGAATAGAAAAGGAGATAATGGGCATCCTTGACGGACACCACTGGTCGTCATCAGTTCAGATGACAGCTCGCCGTAAGCCCTCACCTGGCTGTATGAGTACGAATAGAGTGCCTTAATCAGTGCAATATATTTTCTTGGAATTCCCTTTACAGCCAAGCATCTCCAGAGAACTTCCCGATCGACAGAGTCGAATGCTGCCTTTAGGTCAAGAAATATAATGACTGTTGGACGCCGGTAGGAATGCCTATGTTCTAGAATCTGTCGGAGGGTGAAGATATGATCAATACACCCTCTTCCTGGTCTAAAGCCTGCCTGGCTCTCTCGTGTTTGTGCTTCCCGAGCACCACTCAGTCTACGCATGATTATTGAGCCTAAGACTTTAGATACTATATTAGTCAAGCTAATCCCTCTGTGATTATCACAGGAAGACTTGTCTCCCTTCTTGTATATGGGGATAATCAGTGACTTACACCAACCCGATGGGACTTCTTCTGATTCCCAGACGCTGCCTAGTACCTCAGTTAATCCGGACAGTAAGCTGTCTCCACCGTACTTAAATACCTCTGGAGTCATTCCATCAGGTCCCGCTGCTTTGCCTAGTTTCAGATTGGTGACAGCTTTAGTAACCTCAGTTAGTGACGGAGGACCTGTGTCTATATCCCATTCAGGGAGGTGTTGGATGCTCGGAAGGTTGAGCGTGGCTGTGGGCAAATTAAACTGCTCCTCATAATGCTCTTTCCAACGATCCAGTCGTCTATCCTGTGAGCTAATTATAGTGCCATTTTTTTCCGAGATTGTCTCACTAATGATTTGTCTTCTCCCACCCGTTTCCCTGATGAGTCCAAAGAGTTGCCTGGTGTTGCCTATCCTCAAAGCTTTCTCCATCTCTTTGGCTTTTGTCGCCCACCACTGTTCACGGTCCTTGCGGAGACTTTTCGTAAGTTTCCTCTTGTGCAGCTTTCGCTCCTCATTGAATTCGGAGCTCGCCGGAATAAGTCTTCTAGCATCTATCAGTTCGGATGAGGCGGTGGAGATCCAGTGGTTTTTACTCACCTTTGGGTTTACCTTATTCACAGCTTTTACAGCTGTATCTATGGCTGCCTGGATATTTTTCCAAGCTTCTTCAGGGTGAGCACAGCTGTCGAACACAGATATGTGTTTAGCTAGTTCTTCCTGAAATACGGATTTAGTTTCCTGATCGAGCTGGGGACGTGATGGTTTTACCGCCAGCTGTTTCCTACGTCCGTTCAGTCGTAAGCACACCCGAGCGCGGACCAGTGCATGGTCGGTATCTACGCACGTGTTCCAGAAGGAGCGACAATCTCCTACCGACCCACGCCAACGATAGCTTATTGCTATGTGGTCTATTTGTGTCCAGCGTTGGTTTGATGAAGGGGGTCTCCAAGTCAAACAGTGTCTCTCCTTGTGTTTGAAGTTAGTGCTTACAAGAAACAAATGATTATCAGAGCAGAACTGTAGGAGACGGTCACCGTTGTCGGTTCGCTGGCACGGAACTCCATAGGTGCCACCGACATCCTTCTCAGATTGACACAATTTCCCTACTTGAGCGTTAAAGTCACCAGCTAGAACGACTATGTCTGAGCGTTTAGCCTTTCCACCAAACTAGACAGCTTTTGGTAGAACTCATCCTTCGTTTCATCTGAACTGCAGTCAGTGGGGGCGTAGGCGGAGATTACGAAAAGGCATCGGCGAGTAGTGCAGTCCTTCCTCCTTCTTACTGATCCGTTCAGGCGGACAGCACACATTCGGCTATCTACCGGGATCCAGTCAAGCAATGTCTTTTCTGCCCTAGTACTCAAAGCTATCCCTACGCCAGCTAATCCTCGTGAACTAGCTGTGGCATCTCCTGACACCCTCAAGGTGAATTTTGCAGATTCAACCTGTTGGCCAGGTGGGGTTAGGTGAATAACCACACTTGGGTCTTGTATGCGTGTTTCTGAAACACAGCATACATCAATGGCTCGTGATGCCAGGGTCTTGGCTAGTGATGCTTGTTGTCCTATTTGGCAAAGTGTCCTAACATTAAGAGCTCCTATATGAAATTGGTGGCGCGGCTTTAAGAGGCTGTCGGTGGTGGTTTTTTGGCTTCCATCGTTTTTAGTGGACGCAGAGTGGAGAGGAAGTGGAGAGCTATCAAGTCGAGGAGTTGCATCAGTGGAAGGAAGGCAAGATGATAGAGATGAAGATGAAGACAAAGATGAGTGAGTAATAGAGAGGTTTCGTGTGCATTTCGGATTGTGAGGGCGATTGTTACTTCCCGGCTGCCCACACCGTGGAAGTTGGTTGCGTGACCGCAGAGCCCAGGGGACAACTGCTTGAGGCCGGTCACACGCGGCCTGTTTTTGTTTGTTCTTTTTTGTTTGGTGTGTCTCAGTAGCAGATTTATCACTCCCGCCCTGTGACACGGCAGCAGGAAGCGCGGTCGTTGTTAATCCGGGCCACGGCCGATCCGGCATGAAATTTTGTAATTTTGTATTGGACATGATGTTGGATTGGGTAGCTGCTTTTTGTTTAACCGCTATCCAAACAACCTGCCTGGCATGGTAGAACCTCAAGAGACATAAGTCTCAGCCAGTATAGCTTGATTAGGTCATTGCGGTGTTCAAGCCCGACCACCACGTCAAGGTAGCAGCTTTCAGTCGGGGGAAATATCAGTTCAAGTCACCACACTCCCTCCATGTAGCACACAAAGCAAGAGAAGAAAGTAGAAGAAATGCATATTAGAGACAGTAAACGGAGGTGTGAGACAAAAGAATAGTTATAACGAAGAACAAAACAGTTTCATTGGAAGGCATAAGTCTCAAGGAGTGGATTCATCTGAGCTAGCCATTGAGAACGATTTTCAGCCGTATCACCGATTGTTTCCAGCCACTATTGGTTTTTTCATTGGTCTAGGCACTCCACTTCCAACCAGTGGATCACAGTGGTTCGAATTCAGCTCCGCCTACCAAGGTTTGGGCAGCTAGGTATTATCACCAGTTATGACACAATAGGCGCATGGCTCATTGACAACTTAATGGAATTGCAGTACCAACTCCAGAATTATTAAGCATTATTTCCTATAGGTATAACTCTTCTTTTATGTTTGTTTTATTTGTAGTAGACAATTGTATATGCTTATTTCTACTATTTTTTTTTATCGTTCAGCTTACCAACATTAATATCTGTTATTTGAAAAACAGAGAGAAAGAAAGAGAGAGTGTGTGTTGTGAAGGAAAACAATTTGAGAAAAAAAGAGATGAAATTTTTCAGATGAACAATCAATCTTGTGAATTTTTATCAAACCATCCATCAGTTAATTATAACAATAATATTACTACTGTTAGACCATTTATTGGTGAGACAACTACTACTACGGCTGTCACCATTAGTAATAATAATAATATTACCAATAATAATACGAGTAATAACAATGAAACAAAATTTATTCGGTTGCATACTCTACCACCACTTGAGATTCCCAAAGCCCTAAACCATCTTAATATTCCGTCAGTGTGTGTAACACGAAAACTTATTTGGTACAATCAAAAGGTATGTTGTTGATGTGTTATTTGTTTAGAGGGAAATTCTAACTCTAACTTATAATTTTCTGGTGTTGTCTTTTTCAAATTACTTCTGGCGTTATTACAATCTGGCGCGTATTCTGAATTCAGAAAGATTGAGCGAAGAAATATTTACTTTTCAATTAGATCCTCATCTCACTCTTGCTCTACTCTAATATATACAACATTTTTATTACAAAACACAACAGTTTGCCCATGAAGTGGCACTGATATGTTTGTTAACAATATTTAGTCACTGTCAACATGTCAATGGGGTGATAATTAACGAAGAAAATTAATATACACAATTAAAAGGTAGAAATGGTTAGAATAAATTAATTTTATAAGGATAACACGTAATTAAAGATGAAAGTGGTCAAAATAAATAAAACTAAAATAATTTGGACAATTATAATTTTTAAAGGTTTAGGGGAGGAGGGTGAAATAGTCAGGTGTATATATTCATGTAACGATGGTCAAGGTAAGAAAAGTGGTTGTACGAATTTCTTCTGAACACACAGGTTTGGCTTTTTCAGGTGGATTCGTATTGCCTCAGCTGTATGTAGAAGACGAACTCGTAGAGCAAAATTAAGATTTTTATTCTTATATCTAAGATAAGTAGGAATGCGATAAATAATTTTAAATGCAGTATTAACGTCAACCTTATGCTCACTATCTACAAGGTGTGCTAAAACAGAGCTAGCTACGAATAGATCTTGTTTGTCCCTTGCTTAACCATGTTGGATGATGTTCGTGAATACGATGATGAACCTGGCTACATAGAGCTGAAGCAATAGGAATCCACCTGAAAAAGCCAAACCTGTGTGTTCAGAAGAAATTCGTACAACCACTTTTCTTACCTTGGCCATCGTTACATGAATATATAAACCAGACTACTTCACCCTCCTCCCCTAAACCTTTAAAAATTATAATTGTCCAAATTATTTTAGTTTTATTTATTTTGACCACTTTCATCTTTAATTACGTGTTATCCTTATAAAATTAATTTATTCTAACCATTTCTACCTTTTAAATGTGTATTGATTTTAGGATTTCATCATGAGCTGACATTAGTTAGAGAACCATTGGAAAACCTGGGAGTACTGGACAGCTGTTCAAACTCCTACAAACCATCGCTTGAATACCAATGAGATGCTCACTGGCGACTGGCCCTATTCAGGTAGGTAGTTACCTGGGTTCTAGTGGGAAGTCGTGACCAGTAGGGTGCAGTCGGTCGGGTGTGAGGACATACTCGCCGAAGACATTGGCTAGCGGTTGTGCTATGTCGTGAATTGGCAGAAGTTAGAATTCAAGGACCATTGGATCGGGTCCCAGTGGCTTAATGGTACACGAGCTCGCCTTGTAACCAGAATATCCTGGGTTCGAACTGTGGCGGTGAGTGAGTACTGCTGAAGAGTCTCAAACCAGGACGAAACAGTTGTCCAGTACTCCTAGGTTTTCCAATGGTTCTCTAACTAATGTCAGTTCATGATGAAATCCTGAAACCAATCAAATCCCTACAAACCATCACTTGAATGTATTGATTTTCTTAGTTAATTATCAACCTATTGACATGCTGACACTGACTAATTATTGTTAACAAACATATCAGTGCCACTTGATTGGTAAACTGTTGTGTATTGTAATAAAAATGCTATATATGTTTATTACAGTAGAGCCAGAGTGAGATGAGGATTTAATTGAAAAGTAAATATTTCTTCGCTCAATCTTTCTGTTTTCGAAATGCCTCAATGGGGGATTTTTTTCTATATTCTGAATTCATTACAAAAACTATCTCATAGTATCTGTCTGTCTGTCTATGATTGATCAAGTTTCAACGTAGAAATTTGTACAGAAGTGTAATAGCTGAAGATGTTACACACTTCATATAACACAAAAAGGTAGGGAGAGAGAGGAAAGACAAATTCATAAACGGAATTGTTACGGAGGAAAGAATAATTTTTTTATATATTTTTGATTACAGCTTGATTCCACACTGTATTTTTGGTACAAGTATGGAATTTTCAGCATGGATATCGGTAGCCCAAATTTTGCAGGCCGACCATAGATATCAGGTGTGAGTCGGCAGGGGATCGAACCTCGGACCATGTGCATGATCGGGAGAGTCCTAACCACTGTGCCACCAACGCACATTACATGGGGAAAAATGAGAACTTAATTGATCTTGGAGAATACAAAGTGTGAATTCATTTGTACTATTGAGAACGATTTTAAGTCATATCACCAAATGTTTATGATTCATTTGTGCCTCCTGGTTATGATACCTCTAATGAGAATAATTAATGTATCTAATGAGTATTCGTTTTCATGGTTGTGAAAAATATCCACTGTACTGTTCACATCTGTAGGGAATGTGTAAACTGACTTTCATTCCCTTTCATGTTTACTGAATTGTAATAATTGTCACTTTTTCATCATCATAAGGTGTTGGTTGTGTGTCTGTGTGTGTGTGTGTGTTGATCGATTATTTTAGACAGAAAGGTGTTAATTCGCTTTGAGACTCCTTCAACAGCAGTACGCATCCATGACGCCACCAGGGATTGAACCCCAAGACCTTTCTGTTACAAGGCGAGCTAGTAGACCATTCAGCCACTAAAACCCATCTCAATGGCTAGCCTATGAATTCTAGCTTCTACGAATTCGTAATTTTAGCGTTACTGGCACCAGCCAAATGTTATTGGCGAGTATTTGTTCTCACTTCCTACCAGATGGATCCCACTGGTCACGATTTTTCACTAGGACTCTCTCCATACAACTTCGCTCTGTAGCCAATCACTAGTGAGCATTAGCTCAATTTTTTCCATGGGTTCTATGTTTGAGTCTCAACATGATGTAATAGATGGTATTACTTTATGCCTAATTATTATTATGATGAAACTGCAGTGATTTCAATATAGATTTTGTCAGGAATAGACAGACGCTGAAATTCACTGGTTTTAGGATTCCAGCCTAGTGATCGTATGGTCAATGGGTTCACCTCGTAGCCAGAATGCCCTGAGTTCGATCCCTAGCACAGCTGCTGCTGAGTCTTAAACTAGGACAAAACACTGGTCTAGTGCTTCTTGCTTTTCACTACTTCTCCAAGTGATTTCAGTCCGCGACGAAATTAACTTAAACAAAGTCTTTAAAATATCTTTAGTATTTTTTTTTAAATATTTTTAGTAGTTTTAAACTGGTAATTCTTTCCTCCTTTCATATTTTCTATTTCGTGTTTGTTTTTTTTCATTTTACTTATATAATTAAAGGAAGTAGCAGAACTTTTGCTAGGAGCACATGTACACCCAGATTGGCTTTCACCATTTGTTCATGTACGGTAAGTGGAAAAAAAACATGCTCAACTAAAGTAGTGAGTTCGTTATTCGTTGTTTTCTTTTTACAAATATTTAAAAGAAAATTTAAGTTTTAGCTACTTTTTCTTCTGTCATATATTTGAAAACTCAGCGAGGCGTTTGGAGTAAACACAGGAGTCGGACCAAGGGTGCTTACTATCACCCACGATGATATTCCTAATTGTGGTGGACTTACTGGATTATGCGTCAGACAGTGGGAAACGAGAAGACAGGAATATCCTGGACCGACGTGAAGAATCTAGAAGACCTGGATTTCACGCGTGGATGATTTATGTTTGATGCCACACAAAATCGAAGACTTACAAGCGGAAACCGACCGACAAACTGGTCGAAGAAGCAGCCGGCGCACACAGGCTCCAGGTGAACATAGACAAGACTGAGGTTATGAAAATAACCAACCAACCAACAACAGCAGCAGAAACATCCTCCGCCAATCACCATCAACGGGAGGGATTTGGAAGAAGTTACCTCATTCACTTATCATCTAAGGAGCATTGTCTCGACTACAGGCATTCGGAACAGACGAGGATTTCGAATCGAGCGAGAGTCGGGAAGGCGAGCGAGAAACACATTCATCAACCTGAAACCAATCTGGAAATCTTCGTCACTCAGCCAGCATCAACGACAAAATTCAGTCGGATTTCCAACACAAACGTCAAGTCAGTCAGTTCTTCTATGCGGAACGGATCAGAAACTTGGCGGACGGGTCACAAAGAATATTTCCAACAGGCTATTGCAGATCTTTATCAACCAACAACTGTCTTCGCTGGCTACATACTGAAGATCAATCAGATGGCGGGGCCGGAAAGAATCACCAACAAGAAACTATGGGAACAAACAAACAAAACAAGAACCAATCGCCAACCAACAAATATGCAGAAGAAAGTGGATTGAGATGGATTGGACGCTCGCTGAGGAGGCCACTGGGTGACATCGCGCGCGCGTCAGGCCATTGCCCGAGTGGAACCAGGCCGAAAGGAAAGTGGCGAGTGGGACGTCAGTGCAAGGGTGACATGGAGGATATCGTGTGTAGAGGAGTTGAAAGAGTATGGACTAACATGGATTCAGGTGAAAAGTACAGCAGAAGACAGAAGTGGCAAGTGGAGACGTTCAGTTGAAGCCCTATGTTCCACTAGGAACCCAAGGGAACTATAAAGATATATATATATATATATATATATATATATATATATGTTTGAATATTCCATCGATGGTAGGATTATCTATCTTCCTCTTCTCTTTTTTTAACGTTAACGTTAAGTTATGCAAGTGTAAAACAAATGTGAAAAATACTAATTATTATTTTTATTATTGTACATTTTTGTATCTTGAAAGTGCTTTGACCCATAGCTAATTAATGAATAAATTGCTAATAAACTCTCTCTGGTATACATACAGTATCAAGTTTGTGTTGAAATTAAGGAATATATATATATATATATATATAGTAGAACTAATTTACCTGATGCTCGGCTATTAGTCATGTGGAGATATGCTACATTGGCTGGAACACTCGGCTTTCAGTCCAGCCAGGTCCCAGGTTTGAGCCCCGCTCCACCTATTTCAGCCTGAGCAGCTGGGGGTGGTATAATTATAGCCCCGTAATGGGTAATTTTGATCTCTCCCTACTAACCATACTTGTTGTGTGGGGACAGATGGTACTACCGGTTCAGTTAGGGTTGCTTGGGTTGAAGTAGGTGGAGTGAGATTCGAATTCGGAGCCTGTAGTCGAGTGTTTAGGCCAATGAAGTACATCTCCATTGAAACTAAAGAATAAGTAAAGTAATACTGTAATATTATTTGTTTGGTTGTGGGTGTACTAGCAGTGATTTGAATCTATCATTGACTAAAATAACATCTAGATAAATCAATAAGAAGACGTAATTTGTCTGAATCGTGTAATTTATTTGCGCAATACATTTCGAACAATCTGATCACACACAAACGGACTTGTCATAGGAATAGATATGTATGAAATTAATAAAGAGGTAAGAGGTGAGAAATCAGACGTAGGTCAAGTTAAAAGGACATATTCAAAGACAATGAAGATCACTAAACTAAATAACAGAGGTAATAGTATATCTGCTATGGTATCAAAACAAAGTTTACCAAGGAAGGCGGTTTAGTGTGATGACGAATTGTTTTTGAACGCATAAAGGTGGTTAATTTCTAGGGCTTCCACAAACTTTAGGATATGCCCCAAACACGTTTTATAGATAGGTTTAAAAGATCTGTTAATGTCAATTTTGTCTCCTGTCTCTGTAGTATGTTTTGCAATAGAAGAGCTAGGTCTCCTGTTCTCATCGTTAATAGGTCCTGAAGATTCCATTTGCTTCCGGAGCCATTTAGGAATATGCTCTGAAGCCCTTACTTGCAGAGATCGATGAATCCCCCCTATGTATGTGTGTCCACACGTGCATTCAAATTGGTAAAAAAAATAATAAAAATGTTAACTTTTATTCATTGATATAAGAATAAAACTTGTGCACTGTGGTAGAGTGTAATTCCATTATGGGTAAATTTTATTTTGATAAAGTCTCACAGTGTTATACAGTAATGTTTACTGATGACGTTTCGAGCACAATTTATTGCTCATAATCATATCAAGGTGATATTTACCCATAATGGAACTTTTATTCATTCTAATCTTGTTGATTGCGTCGGTGGCATAGCGGTTAGGACGCTCGCCGACCATGTACATGGTCCGGGGTTCGATCCCCGGCCACGGACTCACTCCTTTACCTCGCTAAGCCAAAAATAATGCTGGTAAAGAGGAAAGGTTGGGCATGAGGCTAGCAACCCCATCCTGTAAAATAAACACTGCTACAGAAACTTCAAGCTAGAGGCTTGAGGTCCTATGTTCCACTGGGAACGTGAAGGGAAAAAAATCTTATTGATTACTATATGAGTGATTAACTTCATACACTTAAGTGTAAGGAGTTATTATTAGCGATAATCAGTTATATTAGTATTCAGTCTTTATAGTCAGTGTTTTGTCAGTATAGTATATCAAGAAAGCATGATTCATACTTATACACTAGATAACTGAATTTTTACTTGTTAGTCATAGCTAGCTGTCTATTCGACTTTATTTAATGAAATTTAAGAAGTTATACAATATTCGTGCAGAGTAATACTCTTGTCTATCCTATATCAGTCGTCACTCTAAACAGATTTCTTTGACAAAGTTAAAGAATTACGATTTATCAAGGGGATGAACATACCAACTACGTTGAAACGACCATTCTTCCTGAACAGTCAAATTTTAGTCCCCAATTCAAACTTAACCCTTTCCTTTCACTAAGTTTTTCCTTAACTATAAACAATCCTTAGTTTTGCTTGACCCCTAACCTTTACCTATTCCTTGCTGAAGCCCATCACTAATGTATTCCCCCAAACCAAATCAGATATTCTGTTTAGTATTTCTAAAAAGCTTCTTTTTTTAAGATAAGATAATAGCTTTATTCCAAATCAGTACTTGTGATACAGAATGGAATTCTCAGCATTTTTACTACAATATTGGTTTTAAGAAAAAACTGAATATAATGTCTTTTACCTGATATCACTAATTCGCACTGCTTGTGCTTTCGTTCCCTTGTATCGTTATTGCTTTAACTTGGTCGATCGATTTTCCATGTATCAGGCTAAAAGCCATATGTATGTATTATGCGAGGGTTGACAATACTTCCCATTTGCTTGCTCAGCCTAAAGTAGGCAAAATGGGAGTTGAATCCATAAATCATCGGTTGGAAGTTGAGTACTTAAAGCAACTAGCGACGTCTTGGTAGTCTAACGGAATAATATATAAATCATTCTGAAGTAGAATATATATATATATAAGCTAATTGCAAGCACTTTACAATTATATGAAATTATATGAAAGTTTATTTTCTGTCTAATTTATCTTGCTTTTTATCGCTACTGTTATTAGTTTGTTTTTTTTGTTTGTTTCCTATTTTCCAACGTATATATATCTGTGTAGCCCTAGAAATGGTTCTGTTATTTTCTATCGACGTGAATTGGCCACCTTAGCACGTAAAGAAGATGGTTATCTATGGCAAAGGAAACCAAGTCGACGCACAACCAAAGAAGTTCATATAGTTCTTAAGGTTGATGGTATTGAGGTCAGTTTTCTGAATATTAGAGAGAGAGACACACACACACACACACTTTCTCTCTCTCTCCGATTTATTGAATATTTTTCTTATTGGGATTTTATTAAGTAGAGTGGAATATAGATTTTTAATATCTTTTGAATTTTCAGTAGTTGTGGTGTTGTTTTTACGAGATTAGATTGCTAACCTAATGCTTAACCTTTCCTCCTGTCTGGATTTCATACTGGCTGACTGGGGTAGATTTAGGAGTGCATCGGTCTAGAATCGAACATGATTCTCCCGACTAGGCTGACGAGCATTTTACCATTTAAATCTTCCTTAACTTGTATAATTATTATTGCGTTCGGAGTGGAACACAAGACTTCAAGTTTGAGCTCAGAAGTCTTAATAGCAGTGGTGTTTTTTCTTTACAACGTCCAACCTTCCCTCTTTGTTGGGTTTACAACTGACTAGAGAAGGTAAAGGTGTGCGTCAATCAGAAGTCGACCTCCAGACCATGTACAGGGGTTGGTGGAGCATTCTACCACTGAGCCACCGACTCACTGCATTAAACCAATAGATATGGCAAAGTTCAACAATAGTGTGTCCCAGGAGTGCGAACGCTTCAATGACCTTGAACGCATGCTAGTCGTTGGCTAACAGCACCTTTCATTATCATAGCTGAAATGTCAACGCTACTCATCAAATTAGGAGCAAGTTTCACCCGGATCACGCTTTTAATAACTGTTTGGACAATGTGTTAATATCTCGTTAGGGTTAGGATAAGGGTTAAGTTAAGTATTGGGGTTAGGGTTAGGGTTATAATTGGGATTAGGGTTAGGTTTACGGCAGGATAAGGATTGTCATTAGGGTCAGGATTAAGGTTAGGGTTGCGATTAGGGATAGAATTCATACTTAATGTCGTTTATTTTAATTTGTTTTATCCTCATTTTCCTTGTATGTAGTCGTCGATCCTCTTACTGAAACCATAGTAATTTAACTGAGGGCTTTGGAGAGAACTGCACAGCAAGAGAAGAGAGATGAACGATTCACAAAACAGCACATCTTAAGTCACTTCGGTGAATACATCTACAGAAACTAGTCCAACTTAACAACTGATACTCTTCATCATAACCGGGACGTATTTTTAAGTCATGTCATAGATTGATAATCTGTTTAATATGTTTTCATGCATTTTCTTGTGAATATATGTCATTTTTTTGTGCAAAAAATTCCTTATTTTTATGATTGGTTGGCTGAAGGTTAGTCGTGCGTTTGCATCCCTTAGGACGCTATTGTAGAACTTTGCCATAGATATCAATAATATCCTATAAAGTTTGACCATGGATTAATATCAGTTAGAGAACTATTGAAAATCAGGGATTACTGCTCCTCTAACTGATATCAATCTGTGATGAAACTTGAAACAAAATCAAATCTCTACAAGCGCTAACTCTTGAGGAATATCCTATCGGTTGAAATACTGTATTCTTCAATGAATGTTATTATCTGGTTAGTGTTAATAAGAAGGAAAGTGTATAAAGAAGGTGTTTTACATTCGTTTTCTTACTAATGTTGCCTTTGATGACCATTTATAATGTGATGTATGGTGAAGTACACCTGCATAATCTACCTACCTACCTGTTTTCACTCAATCTCCTTAGTGTACATCCAAATTAATACCTGATAACTTTTTCATAATCTTTATTTGCTTCAACTTTTTGTTATATGATGGGAAAACTAGTACCAAGAAAGTGTGTAAAGCTACTGACAAACGGTACTGTTTGATATGACTAATCTCCAGCTAAGCATATCAATCGATAGTATTGTGGTGGTGTGTTACAGACAACAATGTGTGTTCCAACGGAATATTATTCTCACATATTTTCACAGTTCAATACTGCGTTAGCAACAGAATACGATATATCTGCATTTGAATATTCTATTTCACGTCGTTTAATTGTAAACAAAAATCACACGCTCAATGATTATTGGTTAGAGAATATAAAACTGTGTGTTGATATACGTATAAAACTTGGGTACTACGGTAGAGTATAGCTCCATTATGTATAATATTTTATTTTGGTAAATGACACAGTGTTATGCAGTAATATTTACTGATGGCCACGTTTCGAGCACAAATTATTGCTGCTCACAATCATATCAAGTCACACACAACTTTGTTCTTCATTCATATATATATATATATATATATATATATATATATATATATATATATAATGTACATTCAGGAATAATAATGTGAGTGTTATTGATCAAATACTATCAGATAGGAAAAAACACAAGTGTTTTTATAATCAAAATAAGTAACTTGTTAGAATGTGAATTGAATACATGCATGATGCGTCGGTGGCATAGCGGTTAGGACGCTTGCCGACTATGCACATGGTCCTGGGTTCGATCGCCGGTCACGGACGCATTCCTTTACCTCTCTAAGTCAGTAATAGAACTGGCAAAAAGGGAAGGTTGGGAATGAGGCTAGCAACCCCATCCTGTGAAGACAAACACTGCTACAGAAACTTCAAGCGTCTAGCTTGGAGACCTACGTTCCACTGGGAACGTGAAGGAATAAAAAAAAATGATGTACTTGAACTGAAATAGAATTTTAAGATTATTTATTATCCTCCTCTGATTCGACTGGTGGTAATAATATCTTCCGTATCTCTGGTATTTGCATTGAGTCATTTCTGTGGAGACTCTATGAAACAAGATTCAATAATCAATCTCTCTCGCTCTTCACCTACCTATATTACTTTTTAGAATTTTATCCCTTTCCCTTCCTATTGTGTCGTTGTTTGTTAATGCGTGAAGTGCAATAGCTGAGCTTTTATCTAAATTACTTATCTTCTCGAGGTCAACCATTCTTACCTTAGCCAAATTCTTATGTTCCGACAATTTGACTACCCCTGAGCTACTAGTTTGACCTATATAGTTGACCTCAATCACAGTCATTCCAGGGTATTTTGTAAATTATATTATTTTGTTTAGTTGGGTCCACCGGGTCTTATATCCTACAGAGCTTGTCCTACCTGAGTGAGTTTGTAGGTTTGAATGCCATCCTAATTCCTGCTTTATTAAGAATCCTACGTAGGGTCTCTGATGTGCCCTCCTTATATGGTATAACAGTAGATGACTTATATTCTCTCTTATTTATGTTATCACTACTAGTTTCACAATTATTTTGATTTTTATTCAAATATCTAATCAATTTCATTAATGTGTATAAATGAAGGAAAAAGTTGTATGAGTAACTTGATATGATTATGAGCGGTAATAATTTGTGCTCGAAACGTGGTCATCAGTTAATATTACTGTGTAACACTGTGTGACTTATCAAAATAAAATCTTGCCTGTAATGGAGTTAAAACTGTGTATATTTAAATAGCGGTTTGGTCACTTAAAAATAATACCTTGGCTTCCGTGTCTTGCCTTTTGCTGTTTGTTACAGTATGTATCATTTTGCACAAAAGATATTGGTGTCTGTGTTAAGACTTCAACACTGTGGTAGGCGGTATGCAAATCCATGCTAATTGGTTTATTATTAAACTTGAACAAAGCAAGAACAACAATTATACCGGGATAATATGAGCTCATCCTTTATTATTATTTCGAGGACTCTTCTCAACTGGTTACAACCTGAACGATAAAAAAATATGAATTACATTAAAAATTTGAACATACTTTTCCACGATCACAAGGACTAATTGGTAGGAATTAAAAGTAATATTAGTTCGGAATGATTTAACTGATTAGGAGCTACAAACACTGGCTATTTATAGAATAATTAGGCAATTAGGCTTGGAAACAAAAACGGGGTTGCGTATTTATATGCGTGTGTGTGTATAGAAACAAGGTTTAGCTAGAAAGAGCATAAAAAGATAGTAGATTACGTAACTAAAGAAGACGTCTTATCTGATAGTCAATAGAAAAAAAGAAAGAAAAGAAACAAGGTAGGGTGAATCATGTTTAGATGAAAAAGGTGACTCATGAAAGTTGTATATATTTTTTTGTTATCACCAGGGCAGTGCAAGATTCACCACTGTCTCTTTCTGCGTACACAGATTTCGTTTAAGTCGTTTGATAGCAATTGCTTCAGCAAAGCGTAACAAACTAGGTTTCTTTTGCTTGTTGATTATTTTGAACGACTTCAGGTTGTCTACAATATGACCATTAATGCACTTAACCCTAACTCACTTCAGTGACTCATGGATTGACTTGCAGCCAGGGAATAATCTCGCTGAATTAGAATATGCCGACGATATAGTCCTTGTAGGCGAAAACGCTGAAAAAATAGAGCAGAGTCTTCTAAACACCTTGAGCTGGAATCTACGAATGTTTGGCATGCGATTCGCTCCCGCCAAATGCAGGATGATGTTAGAGGACTGAACTACACCAACTCCTAGTTTAAAAATAGGAAGTGAAGTGGTAGAGCACGTTGACCGCTTCACTTATTTGGGAAGTATCATCAGCCAGTGCCAACGGGTTGATCTCTGACGAAATCTCAGCACTGATACAGGGGGCTCGTTTCGCATATGTTACGCCGTCTCTGGCGTAGACGAGATATTCGACCATCGACCAAAGGGCGGGTGTACTGCTCACCAGTCTTCTCCGTCCTCCTTCATGACTGGCTGTGAGACCTGGCCATTGAGAGTGGAAGACATGAAAAGATTAGCTGTCTTTGATCATAGGTGCCTGCGTTGTATCTTCCGTGTGAAGTGGCATAATAAGGTGAGCAATATTGAGGTTAGGCGTCAAGTTCTAGGTAAGTAGGGGAAATCAATCGACGAAGTTGTGAAGTTACATCGACTGAGATGGTTAGGACATGTGTTACGTATGCCTGGTCATCGCCTTCCTCGACGAGCAATGTTAGCGGATGTAGGGTCAGGCTGGAAAAGAGCTAGCGGCGGTCAAACCAAAACATGGCTTCACCAGTCAATGAAATCCACAACAGTTAGTTTAAGCCAGTCACGTAGGAAGGTGTAGACTTCCTGACTGGTTGGGGTCCTCGGGACGGTAAAAACCAATGGTTGGAAACAGTCGGTGATATGGCTCAAAATCATTCTCAATGGCTGGTGCAGATGCATCCACTCCCTGTGACTTATGACTTACAATGAAACTATATATTGTTCTTCGTTATTACTATTCCTTTGTCTCACACCTCTGTTTACTGTCTATTATGCTTTTCTTCTCTTGCTTTGTGTGCTACAAGGAGGGAGTGTGGCGACTTGAACTGGTGCACATATGTACAAAGTTCTATGTCGAAAACAGACAGACAATATGACCAGTGTCCAATAGATGACGAGCAGTGGTTTATTATTATTATTATTATTATTATAGATCACACAGTGAAACAGTATTTGTAAATGACATGATAAATTGTGATTTTGTTCTGTTTTCTTTTCCAATTCATCCTATTTAATACGTTCTCTTTTTCCTGTTTCCTTCTTTTTCTGTTTAGTCTATTATCGCTAACTATGCACATTCCGCTTTGATTTCTACATTTCATCGTAGAACTTACGCATTGAGATTTGTAAGACTGATTTTACTGTGTTTTTTTTTAAATGACCAGTGTTAATTGTTTTTTTCGCCATTCAGATGTGCGTGTGTGTGTATCTACCTCACTAACTGTAAAAAATTATATTTGTAAAATCTCAGAGAGATTGAGATGAGGAATTCCAACGTTTCGTTCGGAAATCTAGTCCGAACTTCTTCAGTGAAATTAATCGAAATTAACATAACAGAGGATTATGTATAAAAGGAACATCTCTTGTTTTTTTTTAAAACTTTGTCCAATCATGAGTCATAAAACAGGTATTTTAACAAGTATAATAAACAACATTGTACGAGTTGTGATCAAAATTTGACCTCAGACTTACAAAATTGATCTACCTTTGTTAAACACTTTAAACACAGTATGTATGTATGTGTGTGCGTGCGGATAAACAGTTGTAAACCGATGTCTTAGCGTCTCCATAAGTAGATATAGACAGTAGGAAACTTTGACCAAGTATTATTAGTTAGTGATACATATTAATCAGGATTTCCTATGCGTCATCTAACATCACACCTTCATGTCTGTTCAAACTGTTAGTATCTAGAATTTTGTGATTAGACGTATTTTCAAAATTATGGTGTTTAGGATTAGAGTTTAGTTGAAGCACCCTGTCAAACTTATTACTTTGCCTTCTTTCTGAAGATTGAGCTGCTTTATTCGACCTACTGGAGTTGTCAAGTGACTGGACAGCTACGGATTTAGGATGCGCATTCTGTTGCAGACAACGGAGAGTGGAAACACGATGATTGTGCCAATTACATAGTTTCTTTGTTAATTTAATTTAATTGCAAAATAAATCAAAGAACTGTAGTCAAGATTTGACAGAATAGTTCCAAAATATTTGGGCGCCGAGTGAGAAGTAGACATTTGTAAAAAATTATATTTGTAATATCTTGGCGATATTGAAATGAGTAATTCCAACGTTTCGTTCGGCAATCTGGTCCGAACTTCACTAACCTTTAAACCGGATTATTCAGGGCTTATCAACTAAATTGTTCAGACTTTTCAGAATATAATACGCTGCGATTTGCATGTATCATCCATCCAGAGGATAGTAACTGACGTTTCTTTGTCACTTCGATAACTTTTTTAAGTTGTCTGTGCAATGTTGCGTGGTAGACTACTGTGTAAAACTTAGGCACTGTCGTGACTGTATGTAATTCCATATTAGTTTGTCGATTGTATATATTAAGTGTCTGCTTGCAGGGATTTCATTGGTTATACAAGTTTGGTCAGGAGTTGACATCAGTTAGGAAAACTTTAGAGAACCTGGGAGTTCTGAACACAGCTGTTTCATCCTAGTTTGGGACTCCTCATCAGTACATACCGCACAGGGGTTCGAACTCAGGACCCTCCGGCTACAAGATGAAGTCGTAGCCATTCGGCCACTGGTACCCGATCCAATGACCAGTCCATGAATTCCAACTTATGCCAATTCGCGATAGAGCTCAACTGTCAGTCAGCATTGTAGGCGAGTAAATGACCTCTTACTTGACTTGGATATATTACACTGCACCTGTAGTGACACATAGATACACACACATAGCTATGCAATAAGATAGAGCAAAGTGATAAGCTTAAAATCTAGTGTAATAAGGTGGATGGAATGATTGAAAACTGGAGCGTTTTATTTTTCGAATCAACTGAGAATATATTCACTAGGGCAAATTTGACTACCCCTACGATAAACAGGGAAGAAGAATGAAAACTGTATAAATCAAGTTTACAAGTTGTGTAGTGACAGGTGATAACGATTATACGCACAGTTTAGTTTATTCGATACGTCATCATCCAATAAATGTGACACTGCATATTCTGAGTGAACAAATTCATATAAAAGGTAGCATACTGTATTCCTATTAGATAATAACGATAAACCTGAAGTCACAATACGGTTTAATTAATGCGTAAGTATCACTAGACTCGGCTGAAATGACAAGCTGCTACTTCTTGTCCAGATGATGATGAGTCCCAAACAGGACGAAATTCACGTCGTGCATTCCATTGCTAGCTACCGTCAACCAAATGAAGTTTAGGAAATCTGTTTTCACTTATTTAATAATATCATTGGAAATAAAAAAATAAGAATTCATGGGCTATTGAATCAGGTCGTGCTGACTGAATGACCTACGAGTTTGCCTTGTAACCGAAGGGTCCTGGGTTCGAAACCCAGGTGGTTTGTACTGAGGATGAGTCCCGAACTAGGACGCAACAGTTGTTTAATACTCTCTTTTTTTCAGTGCTTCTCTAACTGATACCTAACTTGAAACAAATAAAATCCCTACAAACTAATTCTTGGAAATAAGTTATTCAATTGGACAATGATTGAAAGATGGCATTATAAAGTGGAATGAACACTCAATTAGAAAATTGCTTAAAGATTTTTTATTATTATCTAAGAATTTTTAACATATGTAATAGTGATTTACTTAGATTTCTAATGCAAAGTCATTCATTGTGGGGTCAATTTATACAAGTACTATCGATTCTGTTACTTGTATATGACCTTAAGATTCGAGACTTTCTGTTAAACAAGTAGCTAACTATTTCATTTCTTAAACTTTTGAATACCACGTTGTTAGTTCCACTAAATCAGTTGAAAAATTGATGGTTGTTCAGTAGCAAGATGGATGGATGGATGCTCAGTGGGAATGTTATCAGTCACTGGTACACCATGATAATGACGAGTCGCAATTAGGACGAAACTCGCGTCCATTTATTAGTGGGCAAACACGAAGATAAAACCTGTTTTGTATTGTTACTATTATTTTCAATTGTATATAATGGAGAAGTAAATTACCTTTTCTGCTTGTTTCCTTTTCTTTTCTTCACAGAATCCTTCTATAGTATTATTTCATTATTTAAATGTACCATCATTAACTTATGACAATAAACTTTGTCTACCATTACAAAGTCTAAGTGAATCGGATCGTTTTAGAATGTCATATATTCAAATTGTTGATCAATTAATACGTATGTGTAAGTTATCTAATAAAAATTTCTCTTTATTTGATGTCATTTCACTGTGGGATGTTCAATTGGATATGATGATTTGTCAAGTATTTGTTTTATAGGGAGGGATTTTGTTTGATTGGTGGTTGTTGTAGGATTTCACCATGAGCAGATATCAGTTAGAGAACCATTGGAAAACCACCAGGAAGTACTGGGCAGCTGTGTTACTTTGATGTGGTGTTATTTTTCCCACTCTTTGCTTTCCGAGTGAAACCTGAAACTTCAAGCTTCAGAATTCCAGTAGCAGTGTTGTTTTTTCTTTGGGGTGTGTTGACTAGCCTCACGCCTAACACGTGCCTCTTTTCCGTGCCTATTATCAGGTAGCAAACTACGTTACTCTAACAGTGTATCTACTAGGAATAGAGACTGGACATCCCGCGTAGCTCTCGATATATGTTAGTCTTGCTCAGTTTGGATGTTTTCTGAGCTTGTTGATATTCTTGAACTTTGATAAAGTTCAAATATTTTTCGAGGTTTAAATTTTTACTTTTCAGCGTCAAAGTTATGAAATTTGTGACTGAATTATATTCAGCCAGGCCCTATTCAGGCAGTTACCTGCGGTTCCAGTGGGAAGCTGTAACCAGCAAGGTATAACAGGTTAAAGTTCAGGCAGTAACCCTTCGAAGAAAATGTTGCGAAGTGGTCGCAATATGTCATGAATCGGCAGAAGTTAGAATACATGGGTTGGCCATTGGATCGGGTCCCAGTGGCTTAATGGTCTACGAGCTCGTTAAGCTTGTAACCAGAAGGTCCTGAGTTCGAACCCCAGTGGTGGGTGAATACTGCTGAAGAAACAGCTGTCCAGTACTCCCAGCTGGTTTTCCAATGGTTCTCTAACTGATGTCAGCTCGTGACGAAACCCTCTAATCAATCAGACTGAATTATTAACATTATTCAGATGGTTCGAAGTTTAGTCAAGTAGCTAGCTGAAGCATTTTAATATTTCATAAAATTAAGGATATTCATCTGACGGATTCTTCCCAGAGAGAATAATTTTCAAGTTACACAACTTTATATATGAAAGCCATTCATTACTGGTTACTCTCTTTTCTTCTTCAAATTGTTTTTTGACAGTTGATAATTTCCCAAAACATATCATGAAGCCTGGTGTCGATCAAGTTTTAAATTTCGACGTAAGTTTCTGTTCATTTGATTTGATACATCAGCTAATTCGTATATAAATGTATATATTTTGATCATGGATTAACAGCAATTAGAGAATCATCTCGTCCTTGTTCGGGTCTCTTCAGTAGTACCGACCCTTGACCCTACTGGAGACTGAACTCCTTATGTTAAGAGGTGAATGTGTTGACTATTCAGCCAGTGAAACAGAATTTAGTAACCCACAAATTCTAATGTCCACCGATTTGACACATATATAGTTTGACCACTAGTCAAATGTCATCATCGACTACTCACCCTCACACACCCGACTTGGAAGGCTCTGCCTGCTCTTGATCATGACTTTTCACTAGACTTCGAGGTAACTTCATTCTGTGATCAGTTACTAGTAAATAGTAGATTAATTTTCAAGTTGCAGTTTGCAGATATTTGATCAGTTTCAAGTTTGATCACGGATTGACATCAGTTATGATGTCGGCTGTGTGATACATGTAATGAGTAACACATGTATTAGAATCTTGGTGTTTTTTTGCTGTTTGTCTAGTGTTAAGGAATAAAAAGGACAGACATTGACCTGATTTTCCTGCCTACAATTGTATTTCACCAATATATACATATATATATATATATATATATATATATATATATATATATATATATATTTGATTGTATTAATCTGTGGTCGTCTAAACGTTTTTGTTATAAAATTTCCAGAAATTTATGACCCCATTGTAGGTGGTCTTTCATATAAAAAGCATCACATCACCAGTATATTTACTCTGTTAGTTTAAAGTATATTATTTATGTATTTATGTACGCATGCATGTATATTACGCACCAGTCGATTGCAATTCTACGCAGTCGGGTATGAGCTACACTTATTGTGTGAGGGTTATTCACACACTCTATGACTACCCAAACCTCGGTAGGTGGTGGGGAGAGGGTTAAGTTACAGCCGGTTGGAAGTCTAACGTCTAGACCAATGCACTGCACCACAGCTCCACCAAAGTATTGTTAGTTGAATATTTGCGGCGTTGTGTAAAAGAGGTTGTTTCAACTACAGACCTCTTTAATACCATATAACTGATGGTATAAGTTTTTCTTTCGTCAGTTAATGGTTAGGAAGTGTGATTGATACATGTTACGTAGTAAAATGTTTACTACAGATAAGGACATTTCTTTGCTATAAATTAAAAATATGCTGCACTGCGACCAAGAAAAGTATAAAAAAATTTCAAACAGTCGAAAATTGGAATATAGAAAAGTTTTTTTTACCTTGAGTTGTGGGTGGTATTCAAATTTTAGTGCTCAATTGAACATTCTAGTCGTTATCTTTACTAGTCAGCTGTCGTTCCTTGATCAGTAATTATTACTAAATAGGTAATTATACGATAGGGATTTCAAATTCTCTACCTAACATTTGAACAGTTCGAGGTGAGATTTCATCATAGTGTCCTTGGGAAATCGAAAATACTCAGATCATCATACAATATATTGTCTGTTAGTATTATTATTATTTCCTTTAATTCCTAGAAGAACATAGGGCTTCAGCCGCCCGTCTCCATTGCGTTCGGTTCTCCGACAACGTTTTCGCCTGGCTCCAAGTCTCCCTACATGTTTTAATCTCCTCCTCACATCAACTCCTTCAATTCACCCTTGCACTGACGACCAACTCGCGGCTTCCCATTCACCTTCAACTCGAGCAATGGTATGTCGTGTGATGTCACTTGATGGTTTTCTCAGAGTATGGCCGATCCATCTCCATTTCTTCCTGCATATTTGTTGCAAAATTCATTGCTCGTTGGTTCGTTCATAGCCAGCGATCCCTGTTGCTGATCTTTTCTGGCCAGCCATCTGATCTTGAGTCTTGAGCGAAGACGGCTATTGATGAAGGTCTGAAGTTTGTTCGAGATGCTCTTTATGACTCGCCAAGTCTCTGATCCGTACTTTTAGTAAGCAGCACTGACTTCACATTGGAGTTGAAAATCCGGATGTTATTTTTGATGCTGGGTGCTGTTGACCTCCACATAGATTTGAGAGTAATGAGAGCTTGTTTTGCTTTTCCGATTCTGGCGTTGATATCCTTGTCAGCTCCATCCGCCTGTAGTTGAAACGATGCTTCCCAGGTTGGTAGGTACGTAAAGGAAGTTGTTTCTTCCAGATTCCTCCCATTTATGCTGGCTGATTGTTGTCTGTTGTTGTTGCTGTTGATGTTGGCCAGGAATCTTCATCACCACATCTGCCTTCTCTGTGTTTACCTGAAGTGAAGTCCTGTCTTTGATGCTTCTTCTGCCAACTTGTTGCTTTTCACTTGCATATCTTCCAGTTTGTGGGAAATCAGACACATATCATCGGCGAAGTCCAGATCCTTCAAGTTTTTTGTGTAGGGCCATTTTATGCCTGTTTCCTCATTGCTCGCTTGATATCAAAAGTGAGGATCAAGAATACACGCATAAAACAATAGTGGTACATACTACTGAATGATATCAGTAGCTCCGCATTTGATGATATTGCTCATCAAAGGTAATCTGTTCAATCCACCGACTTATTGTCTTAGATACTAGTTTGAAGAGTTAGATAATAACACATGAGAAAGAAATCATTTGTCTGTAGCAATTCAAAAAAGTTTATACATGTTTGATTAGTGTTGTGAAATACCAATGTGCGCAATGTGGAAGTTGGTCATTAAGTACTCGGAGAGAAAGAACTAACCAGTTGAGAATGGTGTGTGTTTTGTATTTTAATTCGTTACTTCCTGTTTTTTTTCGTTGATTTTTTGCTTAGAGTTGGTTAGTAGTGGAATCACGGCACACACCTTTTGTTTTTTTTGGGGACTCGTCAGCCGGACGTGTCCAAATCCTATATAGACTCAAACTGGATAACTATTATTTCAAATATCACGAAGAGATAGAGTTATGAGAGCCATTTTTGTACATTACTTCTTACTTCCTAAGATTATCTTTTACTGTACCATTGTTTATCGATGTATTCATCTGATGAACCCCGAATGGGACGAAGAACAGATTTTGGATGCTAGTACCCACATATAACCTAAAAAAGGAGTAAATTAAATGTGGAATACATTTCCAAGGCATTTGATCTAGGAGCGCGTATATAGTTTCCTCTTTATAACTCTTGGGTTTATGCCTTTTCTTCAATTGGTAAACCAACGTAAAATTATGACAAATTAGACGAATACACATTCCTGTAGAAACCGTTTTATTATTTCTGTCTGTTTAGGGGGTTTTTGATGCTGCTGAATTTTATTAATTTTCTCCTTTTTGTTTTTACTATGCAATCGAAATAAATCAAATGAAACTTCTTTTTTTTCTCATTCGATATTTTGAGTCAGAAATTTTTATTTCGTTGATATGAAGGATAAAAATTCTAGGAGTTGGGGTAAAGCATAGTTCCACGACAGTTACAGTTTTATATTATAAAATACAGTGATGGTATAGTATTATGTTTATTTACTCATGATGTTTTGAGAACAGCTGATTGCTCATAATCATACCAAGGTGATCAGTGCCCCCCTCCCATCCCGCCACTTAAGTATATTACTTTTTAGATCTTCCGTTCTGTCCCACACTGTTGTGTGACTGTGTGTATGTGTGTTAGTGCATGAACTGCGATTATTGACTTCTTCTCTATGCCATTTATCTTAATCCCTAAGTTTTGAAGATCTGATTGACAGCTATCTGCTGGTCTGAGTTATATAGTTCACCTTTAGAACGAATTTGAGCCATCCCCACAGTTTTACCATATAAGGAAAAGACATTCGAAATCCCACGTATGATTGTCAATAAAGTGGGATTAGAGTGACAAGCTATGTAGGCTAAAAGACCCTATCGACTCGATTAGACAAAAAATGTATATATAAAATCTACACAATACCTTAAGAATGACTATGGGGCCACCTACATAGGTCAGTCCACTGGATCGGGGATAGTCAGATTATCGGAACATGAGAATTTGACTGAGTGTAGGATGATTACCCTCACGAAGATGAGTAGTTTTGAGAAAAACTTAGTAATCGCAGTGCATGTATTAATACACAATCTCATAATACGGTGAGACAAAGCTATACTTCTGAAAAGTAATATTATTCAGTTGAGAGGGAGGTTAGTCACAGAATCGTCGTTCATTGAATGTACACTTAACACGTGCAATAGGAATGATGCAGCACCAATACCAGAGATACGTAAAATATTACCACCAATAAAATTAAACGATGGATAAGCAATAATGGAATTAATATAAACGAAGTTTGATAACCTTGATATGATCACATTATCGAAACGTTATCAGTGAATAATACTTAATTACTGCATATATTTTATCATAACGAAATAATCTTGTGCTTGGACATTACTTAGTAACTAGTGTAATGTGTCTAGTCCTTTCTTTGGTGCAGACTGAATTCTATCAGTCAAGTTTGCAATATGGTCAATCGTGAGCCTGAACAGCTCAATGGGTTTGAATCTCAGAAGGGATATGACTCCCTTCAAGGTTGAAGATATGCCTTGCTGATTGGTGGTGAGTGCCAACTAGCACGAAACCTATGTCCAAGGCTTCCTGCTAATTGTCCTCATGCACCTGAAATAATTCCCTCTCTCTCTTTCTCTCTGTTTAGTGGCTTAATGGTCTACAAGCTCGCCTTACAACTAGAAGGTCCTGGGTTCGAACCCTGGCGGGTGCGTACTGCTGAAGAGTCCCAAACTAGGCCGACGAACCAGCTGTTCAGTGCTCCCAGGTTTTGTGTATCGGTGGCACAGTTGTTAGGACGCTCGCCGACCATGCACATGGTCAGGAGTTAGATCCCTGGCCGAGGCACACGTGGTATCAGTGGTCGGCTTACTAAATTTGGGTTACTGATATCGCATCCTGAAAATTCCATAGTTGTACTGAAATACTTAATGGAATCAAGCTGTAATTAAGAAATATATGTAGTGAATACCTTTTGTCCTCTTTTCTATTTGCTTATAATCGATAAGTGAGCGTTCATTACGCC